CCTCCTCATCCTCGTAGCCCTCCGCTGGACTCTATCCAGTAGCTCCTCATCTTTCTTGAACTGGGGAGCCCAGCACTGGACACAGCACTGCAGATGGGGCCTCACCAGAGCAGAGTAGAGGGGAAGGAGAACCTCCCTCGACCTGCTGGCCACACTCCTCCTAATGCACCCCAGGATCCCATTGGCCTTCTTGGCAGCCAGGGCACACTGCTGGCTCATGGTCACTTTGTCGTCCCCCAGCACACCCAGGTCCCTCTCCACAGAGCTGCTCTCCAGCAGGTCCGCCCCAGCCTGTACTGGTGCCTGGGGTTGTTCCTCCCCAGGTGCAAGACCCTGCCCTTGCCCTTGTTGAACTCCATCAGGTTCCTCTCTGCCCAACTCTGCAGCCTGTCCATGTAAAGGGAGGTGAGGGCTCCAGCGAGCACCGTAAGCAAGCACCGCTGCCCGCAGCACGTGTGTCTTGACACGCAAAAGCAAACAGCAGCAGGGCTGGTGTCACCTCCCCGTGCCCTCCCGTGGCCCCCACTTACAAGATCCGCTACCGGCGATTTCTTCCTGTTCTGCTTTTCCACCTCGACCTGCATTTTCGCCATGGGCTTCGCCATAGCCAAGGCCATTTTGGCTTCAGCTTGGAGTTTCTTTTGCCTGGTGAGAAAATCCATGTCGTCGAGGGACTCCGACTCTTCCTCCGTCGTGTCTCTGTCGGAGTAGGACGAGCTCTGCTTGCTCTAGGAAAGCAGAGAGGCAGCCGTTACCGCCCTGTCGCCCCAGCCGCGCTGCCGCAAAGAACTTTGCCGTCTACATGTTTTTGTGCACTTACAAGCGGTATCATTTCTACAGGAAAGGTGAAGAGCACAGATTTTTTTTTTTTTTAAATTTTAATCCACAAGTTTATCTTTAAAAATCAGAGTAATTCCCAGATAAGCTCCCTTGTCGATTAATAGCAGCTCAAGCACTTCAGATGCGAAGCGGAGCCAACCAGATCAATGGGTGTCGAAGGGACAGACTGGCTAAGCTGGAGGAGAACATCTGGGGCCTCTGTGCTACATTCACCAGGAAAAGAGAGCAGAGGAAAGCTGGCGGGAGCTGATATGGCTTCGTATCCATTACTGCCCTGATAATTATCAGAGCCAAAAAGAAAGGGAGGAAGGAAGGAGGAAGGAACACCTTCACATGAAGGCATCCGCTCCACAGCAGCCCCGTGCTAGCCGGGCGCAATTTCCTATCTGCCCCTCAGCATCTCGCATTTCTTTCATTGACAGCTGAAGACGCTGCTCTGGGATTTAGCGTTGCAGTTTTAATAGGATCAGCTCTTCATCAGCTTCCATTACAGATAGCTTCATGGTTTCCACGCTCCGGAGCCTCTGTGGGACGGGCTCCCAGACCTACCATGGGCGACAATGGCGTGTCCAGGCTGGTTTCTGTCTTGCTGTCATCGGCGTCGCTGTCCTTGTCGCTGCCGCTGTCGTTCACGAAGCAAATCTGCAGGTTCATCCCACTTTGTAATCTGCGGGGGGAAAGGGAGAGGTGATGTCGCGGTCCCCTCGCGCCGGCCACCCACAGCTCTCCCCACCAAGCGCCGTCCGCAGAGTTGTTCGCCTTTTCAAAGGACACTGTTGGCCTCAGGAAAATATAGCCATTTTCACATTTTTTTTTCCCAAGCAAGCCGATGGTCATCCTCCAGCCCAAAGCCGAGCCGGGACCACCATCCCGCGGCGGCAGGCCACGGGCAAGCCCCCAGCCCTGCCCAGCGCTGCCATTTCTGCGTGGGACCGGAACCCAGCAGCACGGTAACGGCAATGGTTCTACCACCATCTGTTGATGAACTGCAGAACTGCCGAGACGCCGCGGGGCTGTCATCATCACAGCTGGCTACATTCTTACATTAAATAAAATATTAAAGTATATATAAATATATTAATATATAAAATAGAAATAAATATATTTTAGACATAATATATAAAATACTATTATATTATATAAAATCATATGTCAACAATTGAAATTCTTTATTCAGAAGGGCAGTAAGCCTGGTTGTGGCCAAGAGGCACTACTGTCCCACAAGAGATGACTCCTGTGCTTTCCGGACCCCCTGCACCGCTTGGACAGGCTAAGACCACCCGAATTCACCTCCCGGGGGCTGATTTTCTCCAGACACGGTGGCTCAGGGGCATCCCAGCGCAGGCTGAGAGAAGGGAAAAGCAATTCCACAGCTGGGAGCGTCCCGACTTTGGCTCACGCACCAGTCCTGCCCCAAGGCCACCGCAGAGCGGACCACCAGCCATGTCACACGCCTTTTACCGGCTCTGGCTGATGCCCCTGGAAGAGCACGGCACACCAAGCTCCAGGTGGACCCTGCCTCTCCCTGTGCTCAGATCGGCCTCCGAGAGCAAACACCACAACAGCTTTTTAGGAGCAAAAGGTGCCTGTGAAAGCCCCCGCTGATGCTCACATTGGAGCAGCTCTGCAGCCACCAGCCGAGCCCACGCGCCCCGGGCTCTCCAGGACAACTCGCCCACCGGACACCAGGGTCGGGCCCATTTGCCTCCTACAAAACCTGCTTCGTCTTTGCACATCTTCCAAATCCATTAAAAAAAAACCCCAGAAACCACAAATTTCTGGGGTCACCTCTATCAGCCTTCTTGGTACATCCCAGCCAGCTGCTACCTGCTGAAGACAGGGCAAGCCCCCCGCCACGTTCTGCTGCCCATTCTTCCCCATCCCCAACACGGGTGCTTCTATCACAGAATCACAGAATGGCCGGGGTTGGCAGGGTCCTCTGTGGGTCACCCAGCCCAACCCCCTGCTCTGCTTCAGTTTGTGCCCGTTGCCCCTTGTCCTGTCGCTGGGCACCACTGCAAAGAGTCTGGCTCCATCCTCCTGACACCCACCCTGCAGATATTTAGAGGCATTTCTAAGGTCCCCTCTCAGCCTTCTCTTCTCCAGGCTGAACAAGCCCAGCTCCCTCAGCCTCTCCTCGTAGGAGAGATGCTCCCGTCCCCTCATCGTCCTTGTAGCCCTCTGCTGGACTCTGTCCAGTAGCTCCTCATCTTTCTTGAACTGGGGAGCCCAGCACTGGACACAGCACTGCAGATGGGGCCTCACTAGGGCAGAGCAGAGGGGGAGGAGAACCTCCCTTCGACCTGCTGCCTACACTCCTCTTGATGCACCCCAGGATCCCATTGGCCTTCTGGGCACCCAGGGCACGCTGCTGGCTCATGGTCACCTTGTCACCCACCAGCACTCCCAGGTCCCTCTCCACAGAGCTGCTCTCCAGCAGGTCAGCCCCAGCCTGTACTGGTGCCTGGGGTTGTTCCTCCCCAGGTGCAGGACCCTGCCCTTGCCCATGTACTCATGGACATCAAACTCTTCTTATCCTTTTATGTTCGTGGCATTTGTTATTCACCGTTACCATACAACAGAAGCATGAATAATTCTGCGCAAGCTCCCAAGCCGTGCCGGACAGATGCGGGGACGCAGGCCGGGGCGCAGGACGCGCCCTTGGCTCGGCTTCAAATCTCATCGCGCGGAAAGGGCACGGCGAGTGCGAAACGCGGGTCTGCGACCACTGCGCCTCTGCAGGGCACGACCCCGACGCCCGAAACCCAGCAATTTCTGCTCTTTTATTTCAGGCGCGAGCACAGAAATGAGAGCAATGGGGCTGCCGAGGTTCCTGTGGGTCCTGCCGCGGGCAGCGCCCAACCCCAACGCTTTGCCTGGACTATAAAGATGAACGAAACGCCAAAGTGTTCAGGTACAGCTGGTGATTTCTCGGGGCACAGCTGCCAAGCCCTGCCGCACAGCGTTAATTAGACCCGCGCCATAATTACCAGACAGCAGCTCCTGGTTTAGCTGTAACTACACAGAGCAAAAATTGTTTTCCCTTTCCAATGACTCGCAGCTCCATTTAATTTCACAGTCGTACCCCTCCGGCGTAACAGCAAGTGTTCCTCCCGGCCTTACACCTCTCTAAGACCTTCTCCTTCTTCCACACCATGGCAACAGGTAGATCCTCACTCCCAACGTGGGAGGCACGCAATGCTTTCCAAGTGCCACAGGTTACTCCCAGCAGTGGATCGGAAACAAGCCTTGCCGGAGTATATTTGATGTAGAAATCTTAAAAATCAGAGTAAGTGCTATGCAGCCCAGGCTACGCAACATGCAGCCCCAGGGATGGAGCCATCCAGCGAGCAGAGCCTGCGTGGAGCACGTGGACATGGAGGAGAGGCCGGGAGCCACGTTAAAGCTCATTATTTCCATTCTCCAGGGCTTTCTGCGCGTGACATTAATTGCTCTCCACCGCCCTGCTGTCACCAGGGCTACCTGCCAGCGTAACACCTGCTTCCAGCGGGCTGCCACCTCCCCAGCCACCGAGGGAAGAGGCCCCTTCACAAACTTGTGGTCTCTCACCAACCACTACCACGCTGCGTGACCCAGGACTGGTGGGAGCATGGGACCATCCTTGAGCCCTGCCCTGCTTCGGACATGCACGACTGGCATTAAATCAGAATAAAAGTCCTCAATATTCTGCAACTCAAGGTAACGAGCTCGTTGGAAAGCAAAATTAATCAACCATTTTCACGACAGTAACTCCAGTTGCGCATTCGTGGTTACTTCCACCACCACTCCTGGTCTGCACAAGTCCACAGGTTCAGGACAGAGATCCAAAATGAGAACCTGAAGGAAACCTAACTCAAGAAACTTTCGCTCATTTGTTTTATCCTCAGAGCACTGAAACATTTCTTTTATACAGTTTTAACCCAATATTTTAGCGTACTGCTCTCAATTATTTACATAACAGACACCAGTTGTCTTTGGAGCAGAAGACGTTGTTCTAAAACAAGGAAAATTCAAGAATATTGTCACAAGTAAAAACGGAGGGATCCTCTGCAGGGCAGGTCTCGGGCCGTCCCGCTGGAGGCATCTCACACTTCTCAGCCTCCAAAGAGGTTTTGGGCGGTGAGGCCGCCCGGCTTACCGGGAGGAGAGGCTGGGCTTGCCGCTCTTGCTACAGCTGGTGTAAAGTCCTGGGCCATCGTCGAAGAAGCTGCCCAGAGCCAACTTCTGCCTGATGGACTCCCGCTCATTCTTCTGGGCCTGAAAGGGAAGGGCAACAAGAAAGGATGAGGCTGCCGGCCACGCCAGCACCCAGGAGAGGTGTCCCACCAGCCCCACCGCCACGCTCACGATGCCCAGCATCCTCCAAGCTCGGGTGGGCCACATAGCCCATCCCAACAGGGAAGCCCACCTGCATCTCTCTCTCCACGTACTGATAGATCTATATCTATATACACACACACACCTGACATATACATAATATATATATACTGATAGCTGTACCTATCGCCATGTACAGCGACCGAGGCCACGCCTGCAGCGCTAGCACCTTCCACTTCTCCGAACAGCCCCAAAACCACACAACCCTTCTTCTGCCAGCCTGCTCAGAGATGTGTTTTTAACCATCGCCATCATATTATCCACATATACATATATATATGGACATATATATATCCATCTATACATATCTCCATATATATATGATTTTTTGAACAAGGGCAAACTACAAAGTGATTTGAAATTAATCACCGACCAATGATTATGGAGATGACTGTGTCAACAAAACGTGGAATAAATGAAAATCACAGAGCTAGACTCAAAATTAGCAGCTGTACTATCCCGGTGTCTGTTGCTAATGGATTATGTGCCAACGCTGATAACAAATTCATACAAGGCGGCAAGTTATTGATAGCAGGAACAATCTGAAGCCCTCAAACATTTCATTTTAAAATAACACATAATAACCGATCAAGAATATGCAACAAAAGAAAACATAGCAGGCAAGCATGGGCTGCTTCCACAGTGTCAATTAACATAACCGTGCTTCTCTTATTTCACCTGAGTAAAAATACAGCATCTTTTTTAATAGGAGCAAGTGAGATATAACAAAATGCAAATTATTAACTTAAAATAGCTAATAATTTAATTCCAACTCCCGCGCTGACTGTATGCATTACATTATCACAGTGCCCATTACACTGCCAGTCCCTTACCAAAATACATACTTCATTCGTAACCTAACTCCTCTTATTTAAAATACTTAGAATCTTAAAAATAACCCCCACGGCACCAAGCGGTATCGAGTTTTCGGGTTCAGCTCCCCGTTTCCGAAGTTCTACCGAGACCACCCAGCTATGTTCTTCTATTTTGTTTTTTTCAGGTTTCAGTAATCGACGCCTCCATCACCCGCAGGCAGTTAGATCGGAAGCTATGTTCTTCTATTTTGTTTTTTTCAGGTTCCAGTAATCGACGCCTCCAACACCCGCAGGCAGTTAGAGCGGAAAAAAGAGCAGCCAGCCCTGCCCGTGAAGGCAGCAGAGGGAAAAAAATAAGTAAAATTGAGTGGGAAACATTTTTTTTAACGGACTGAAGGCAGAGACAGGGCTGCCTGTGCCGGTCCCTCGCGCTGCCCACCCCATGACGTGGGGTCTCCCCTGAGTGTGCCAGCTGCTGCCCTCGCCACATCGATATTTCATCAGGTCATGGATACCGAGCCTCCCCCCTTTTCCCACCCAGCTGATCCTCTCCCCCATCTTCCCACCTACCTCTGCTGGTCCTTGTGTTCCTACAGCAAGCAGGAGCCCACAGCGCATCCCCACCTCCTCCCGCCAGCCGGGACGGCTCCCTCCCTCCCTCCGCGCCATATCCACCCCCTCTGTGTGCGCCGAAAAATTGCTCTTCTCTCCATCGAAACACACCTAAATACAGGCACACCTTCACCCCTTTCAGACGGGGCTGTCTCTCCAGACCTTTGCTAATTTTGCTCCACTTCCCACCGAGACCGTGACTGCTCCCAGCTTGGCTCTGCGCATTTAATCAACGGGCAATTTGTTTTCTCCACCAGGTCATTACTGAGGATATGAAATAACGCTGCTCCCACGACTGAGCTCAGAATATCCCATTTGATATGCCAGGCGCAGGCTAATGAGCATAAAGAAATCAAGAGTCCTATTTGTTATTATAAAACAGGGAACAGTTACTAAGAAATAGAATATACCTGAGGGAACTGGACTTTCGGCTCTGGAAAAATTACCCAGCAGCTGCAGCTGGGTATTGAAAACTATACATTGAGAAGGAAAAAGTGGGTTTTTGACCATCAAATATACTTACTCGGTATCTATCATAAAAAAATGGCTCAAATGCTCAAAATGCAAAGGTGCTAGCAAGAAAAACACAACCCCACGTTACTGAAATGTGTATGTGGGCACAAACTGAAGTAGAGCTGAACATGAGGAAGAACTTCTTCACTCTGAGGGTGACGGAGCCCTGGCCCAGGCTGCCCAGGGAGGCTGTGGAGTCTCCTTCTCTGGAGATATTCCAGCCCTGCCTGGACGCAGTGCTGTGCAGCCTGCTCTGGGTGACCCTGCTTGGGCAGGGGTTGGACTGGGTGACCCACAGAGGGCCCTGCCAACCCCGACCATGCTGTGATTCTGTGATTCTATGCTGACACCGAATCGGGAAATGTTCTGTATTTCTGCTAGCGGAGTCTGGCGTGGAGCTGAAGTCAGGTTCAGACAGTTCTTTTCAACAAAAGGCTGCTTTTTATGTTGAAAGCGAAACAGTCTGGGGCAGATGTTTTCCCTCTCGCCGCTGACCTTCCCCTTCGGAAGGGCGGTCGCCACCTTTTGTTTCAGCACACGAATAAAAAACACTGCGTCAGACCATGGCCGCGCCTGACCACACGTC